CTGCACTTTAGATAAATTCTCAAGTATTCATTTAATCCTACAATTATGTGATATTGAAATTACCATTCAAATGTGTCAGGAGAACCAAATGCAATTTCCTAAAGCACAAAGCAAAGATGTGTGTGTGTGTGTGCTTGCATGCAGTGTGTAGATGTGTATGTGTTTTAATCAATTTAACACTAGGGGGCTCTAGTTACAAAACCAGTAACTTGTCAAAAGTTTAAAATCCTGGGATGTGACTTTGGAGAACAGATGGATTCTAACCCACTGAATCAAGCGCTGTTGTCTTCCAAAGTCTTGCAGGCATTAAGAATAGCACCAGGCTTTTAGGTTTGAAATGTTACAAATCGCTAAAAGAGCAGGCTTAAAATCCTAGAAGTCCTTATTTCACAGAGTAAAACAACAAGTTGCACTGACAGCCTCAAGGATGTAGAATTCATGTGCTCTGCAATCCTACATTGTACCCTTATGGTACTCTGTTATTTTCAAATCATTTTCACATATACTTTGACCCTCTCAATAATCGGTCAGGTAGATAAGGGAGGTAGATGTTGGCCTCATTAAAGGCAGGGACACAGACTCAGACAAGGGGCAGAAACTTGCTCAAGGTTAGGTAGCTCATGAGTGATAGCATTAGGCCTGGTTTCCTGACGTACCAGCTCCAGGCTCAAAGCTCTTTCGCCCTAATAGACAAGGAAAGAGCATTAGGCTTTGCCCTATGTAATATGTCCAACACAGCCCTTTCATTATGTACAATGCTCCCTTCCAGGGAATTAAATACCCCTACCACCCACCCATCAAACATCCAAAATGTAGTTTGAATCCCTAAGAAACTGAAAACACTGAAGAAATCTTTGGTTGAGGTAGGAGAGGGAGGGATACGGCTAGGAAGGAAGCTTCTTACACTTGGTAACTTTTGGCTTTCAATTATATTTTAATTTTTTTAAAGTTTTGTTTTACCTAAGCCAGCAATTATCCATGAATTTCGCCTAAATATGCCAGTTCTGCCAGGTGGCAGAGTCGGTGTGATATTAAAGCCCAGATTAGTCAAAATCCACAAGCCGAAGGGAAAATGATGGATGACGGCTGCCATTCAATGAGCAGTTACTGTGGACCTGATGGCTACAGTGCACTTTGCAAAACTCTCCATTCATCCATCCTTTCCTGCTCCAGTGCCACCATCTTAATCTTAACCACCCTCTGGTCTGTTAAGACAATGCCTCCCTTGAATCCAAACCACTAATTCTTATCTGAATACATACATGAATAGAATAATCCTAAAACAAGCATATTTTGATTTTAATAAAAGGATAAACTAATATCATATACCAATTATACCTCAATTTGAAAAAAGAGAGGGGCCGAAAATGTCATCTCATGACAATGTATTCTCAACGCTACACCCCAAATATACACAAATAGATCATGTGACTCACCTTCTTAGAACCCTTCAGTGACTTTCCATCGCCCCAGGATGACGCTGGAAATCTGAAACACCACTGGCCATGGCCCTCTGTGAGCTGCTTCCCCCCACTTTCTCTCTCTTGCCCCTCACAACTGACTTTCCACCAGTTATTTGAATGTGCCAAACTCCTTCAAACTCAAGGCATCTGTGTATGCTGTTTCCTTCTACTAGAATGCCCACCCTTCCCACCTACACATCCCTCAGGTCTCAGTTTAAATACCTAGTGTTCTGGAAGGCTTTCCTCACTCCCACCCAGTCCCACACCAGGTTAGGTCCCTGTGTGTTGTTGTTTTTCTGTTTGTTCCATTTTTTTTTTAGTGATTATCACCATAAGCGTAGGAAACATCTATCATCTCATATAGATACAAAATTAAAGAAATAGAAAAAAACTGTTCTTGTGACAAGAACTCTTAGGATTCACTCTCTTAACAACCTTCATATATAATACACAGCAGCGTTAATTATTATTTATCATGTTGTACCTTATATTCCTAGAACATATCTACCTTTTAACTGAAAGTTTGTACCTTTTAACTCCCTTCATCCAATTTTTCCACCCCTGCCTCTGGTAACCAAAAATCTGATCTCTTTTCCTATGAGTCTGTTTGTGAAGTATAATTGTAGGTCCCTGTGTTTTTTGATCTCTTCAGCATCCTGTGTATCTCCTTCATTATACTCATAACCAAGTTAATCACTGGGGGGAGAATTTGGTTAATGCATCTACCCTGTATCTGGTTTGTTAAGCATGGAATACCTAAAGACTAACACAGTATTTTTCAAGCTTTTAAAATTATCCTCCACAATAAAAAATAAATAAAATTTACATCATAACCAGTACACATATACACACAAATAACTGAAACAAAAGTTTCGTGAACATTACATGCCCTTTCTAGAGTAACTCACTTGCTTTTAATAGGTTGGATACAACTCAGTTTATTGATTTTACAGCCTCCTAATGGATTCAACTCTCATTTTAAACAATCAACCATCTACGCGTAGCAGATAGTAAGGTCCTCAGAAAATTGGAGAATAAACAAATGGCAAAATATTTACCAGCCACCATTTAAACTCAGTTTGTTTGTTTGTTTACATTGTATCACAGTTTGTTTGATTATTGCTTTGTCCCTCCCAGGAGAAAGAGACCCCAGGAGAGCTGACTCAGGTTTGTTTTTACAAAGCAAAAGCAAGGCTTACCATCCTAGGTACAATTATTTCCATTGATTAGACTGATGAGATCAAGGTCATGAATTTGATCTCATTCTGATCAGTTGGTTTCTCTGTCCAAAGGCCACAGACTGCTTTGCCCCCAAGTAACCTTCGGAAAGAGAGGCTGACCCACTATTTTGCTTGTTATTGCTGATCAAAACATTCCTATCATTACAACAAATAGGTTTCCGAAAAAGAAAAAAAAAACTTTCCAGTAATTCTTTAATAATACCACCAAATTCATTTTTGCTTTTGGCTCTTAGGAGTAATACATGAACTGTCTTACCTAAATGGTCAGATTTCAGGGCTTTGCTAACTTATTTCCAAACATTTGGTTTAACATGATTATAATCCTGCCCTGTTGAATGCCAGGACTCCTCCAATAGGAAACCGATGTATTTCTTAATAACTAGTTAATATCATGCCTTTTTTTTTTACCATCGTATCTTGCTGTTCCACCAGATATCTACAAACCTTGATTTCCTTTCTTCATTCCCACTTCTCACCATCCAGGAAACTACCACAAAAAACAAGCAACAAAATCCTCCCAGGACTGACAATCTTACTATGGCAACAGTTCTCTGCAGGACCAGGTGAACTGAAGGTAAGAGCTCCCCACACATTGGGAACCCTATGAGCACAGATGGAGCTTTCACAAGGAAAACTAAATAAAGCTGTGTGGTGAGGGGGGCTGGCTCCTAAGGAAGTTGTAAAGGGATGTGTCCCTTGGACAGCTGTCTAGCTGGGAGTGCATGGAGTCCTCCCTTAGGTCTCACTCCGGGGGCACAATTGCAGGGCAAAACTATTATCCCGAGTGCTTTTGTTAAACCTTGTCAGGCATTCATTGCCTTGGGGAAAAGTTTATGTAAATCAAGGCTTCCTTGTGTTTGAGAACTGAAAACTGTGGGTAGAACTAGCATTCCAACAGTACATTTTATCTCCTCTGCTGTCTATTCCTAGACATGCACAATTGACTTAAGATTCCTCTCTGTCCACTTATGGAACAACTGTCTATAAAAAAGGACAGAACGAATAAGTACCTCTGTTAATAGTTGGTTCCTAGGAAATTATATTCCTCTTACTAGAAGTTAAGTCAAGTGAACGTCCTCTAATTTTACTGTGGGGGACAGTGGTTTATAAACCCTTATAATTTACCCAAAATTAGGAGGGTTTTAGTTCTTTTTTTTTTAAAGTGAGATTTATAACCCTTAGAAATTTCCTCTATAGACGGGAGCTCTTATCAGAGAATTTAGAATGTAGAATTTCTTTTTTTTTTTTTTTCAGTTTTAGAATTTCATGTGGGTTTTTTTTTTTATTGAAGTATAGTGAGTTACAGTGTGTCAATTTCTGGTGTACAGCATGTCCCAGTCATGCATAAATATACATATAATCATTTTCATATTTTTTCATTAAAAGTTATTATAAGATATTGAATATAGTTCCCTGTGTTATACAGAAGAAATTTTGTTTTTTATCTATTTTTATAGTGGTTAAGACTTGCAAATCGCAAACTTGTTTATCACTTGCCACCCTCTTTTCCCCAGTTACCATAGACTGCTTACTATGTCTGTGAGTCTGTTTCTGTTTTATAGATGAGTTCATTGGTGTTGTCTTTATTTCTTTTCTTTTTTTGATTCCACACGTGAGTGATATCACATGGTATTTTTCCTTCTCTTTCTAGGTTAACATTTCCCTATTCTTCAAAAAGCAGAGTTACCACTGAGATTTCAAGCAATGAACAATATCCCCGGCTCTTATCTAACCTCTGTCCACAGCTGGTTATTCTGTTTTCATAGTTTTCAATGGTTCCCTGTTAAAATCTGAATGAGCAGCTTGTATAAAAAGAAGCCTGCTTTCCCCAACCTGATCTGACCCTATTTGCTTGGTTATATAAATGCTTTGTGTGTTTTATTTTTCAAAGCCAGCATCTATCTACATACTTGACCTAAAACTCCACACTTTACTCCATGAAATAGAGTGATATAAGAAGTGTGGAAAAAAGGAAAAAGAAAAACATTCTCCTAAGTTACCTTAGACTTAAAATCATTTTGGAATAGCAGAAAGCAAGGGAGCTAACATAAAGAAAAGCTTAGTTACCCACATGGCAGGGAGTCCTACTTTTTAAATATGTCACTTAAAAGAGCATCAAAAGAATATTCACATCAATGACTTTTAATGCAAAATTCATTTTAATATTGTAAACAAATGACAAGAGTAATTTTGTAGATTCTGCTTGGGTTGTAGTGACCCAATTATCTGGTCAAAGGGCTGCATGGATGCAAGAGACAGGGTGAGTTAAAGTTTAACTCCCAGGAATTGTAAACCAAACCTAAAGCCACTGAACCTTTGGAGTTTGATATGATGATTAGAGCATAACCCGAGTGACACGCTGAATTCGCCATAATCAAGGAAACCTTTTCCGGTGGGGATCTCTGAAATCACTCAGGTATGGTCCATGTGTTTTGCTTTTTCTATTTCAACTCTGTGGAACTGTGCAGTGTGGATCAGTGGGAATGCAATGAAAAAAGCTGTTACCCTCTTCTACCATAGAGCTGAATTCAGGGATTTTTCTAGTTTGTTTTCATACTAACGAAGCAACCCGAAAACAAAAGAAAACGTTAGAATAATCATATAAACTCAAAATGCGATAGCAGCCATCGTTTGCTGTTTGATTTAATCAATTTCTGGGGCTCAAATATGTAGATTTACCACTTGGTGTACAAGGGCTGATGTTTCTGAGAGTGTATTTAGCAACAGCCAGACAGCAGGGAGAGTTGTGGTTGCCTGCCTGCCTGCCTGCCTGGTTCTAGGATCCGGGAAACATAAAAGTGTAATTAGCGAAAGTATTAAAATCACTGGCAGACTCTGAATTCTCTGAATGGGTCATCATTTCTTCTATACTTTAAACTTCATCTATTCAATCATCTCCTTCCCTCTCCTCCTTTACCCTGCACCACCACCAAAAACACAAAAACAAAACAAGAAACAAAAACCACCTTGCTGAATTCTTGCTGTTTCTTCTGCCATTACTATACTAACCAAAGGAATGCCATAATCTATTTACTTGTCATTCTAGGAAAAAAAAAAAAAACAGAAACAGTCATGGAAAATGATTGGCTTTGAGTTTACTAAATCTCAACCCTGAGATGGCTGGCTAATTATTAGATATTTTCCTTTCAGGATGGTCTGGGCAACTGTGCTGCAGTGGGTATACTCCACACCATCATTTTGTCCACTCTAAAAAGAAAATACACAATCAGAAAATGATGGTATTTTATCAAAAATAAGAAATCAATCAGGGCAATTACCAGGAATATCACATTCTTTCCAGAATCCTCTTAAATTCTCTGATAGGAATACTTCTCTTCTATGACTACCAAAGTAACTTCCAAGGAGAATGAGTTCCAGGTCAAAGAAGCTTCTTTATTATAGGATGTTTCAGATGTGTTTTGTGTGTCTCCAAAAAGGTGATGAACGCAGCATTATTTGTGTATTCTGCAGGATTAGTGTTTTGCAAAACGTGCACTGGCAAACCTAACTTTGTAATTTAGTACCATCAAAGATGTGGCAGCCTGTTCCGAAACATTCTTTATAATATGTGCTGAGATGCACACAATAGGTCTGAAAATAGAAGTGAAATCACTTACTTGTCAAAGTGCTGAGGCCTTCCCCTGCTAAATACAGGTAATAAACAAATGACTTACAGGTTCATTTTTGAAGGGCCATATTATGGGGAACAATATCGAAACTTCCCATGTGATACACTTCTCATATTTTACTGTTTCAATTTATTATTTATCAAGTGTAAGGGAAGGGGAAAGATAACTGTCAGGAAAAGAAATTATTTGTTATGGGCAAACATAAAATGACATAATGGATATGAAAAAAGTGAATATTTAGTTATCATTTCCAACTGGGCTAAAACCAAGTTGGTTTGGTCATTTCAAATACAAGATTTCCTATACTGTATTCAGTGGACTTTAATATATGTGGCTCAATAAAGTGACTCCAGTGTCAAGGAAGTTAAGGAAATGGTAATTAGACAAGTTAAAGCAGCTCTTGTTACTACATGAGCATTTTCATTAATAGTAACAGTAACAGACACTTATTAAGCATACTGCCAAGTGTACTCTCCATGCATTTATCTCATGTTATTCTTAGACCAGCCGTATAAGGTAGGTACTATTACAACATTTTACAAAACAAGAAAATAGAAACACAAACAAGTTGCCCAACAGGCTGAACATTACCCAGTTAGGAAGGGGCAGGACCAGCTTTCTCAGCCAGGTGGTCTGACTCCAGAGCCCAAGCATATAACCCTCAGACTGCTCTCACGATGGCTGGAGATTTACTCCATGTGAAAATGTGTTCATTCACCGTGAATATGCAGGAGAGTAGGCAATGTTTTGTTTCCTTCATTTATAACATAACATCTTTTGGTAACATCTTTTAATGTCTCTCAGAAATGGGAGTCCTCAGAACATAGATTAAGACCCAACAAATCACTTTTAGAGTCCAAGCCCAGCATTCATAACAACCAGAATTGATGGAAATCATCACTTTTGAAATCATCACAACCAGAAACCTCTATGGGACCTCATAGTCTATCTTCCGTCAAACAGGACCATGCCTAACTTACTAGAGACTTTCTAAATTAATCATAGACAGAACCCTGGACTTTTCTCCTGACAGAGCTGGACTGGAATGCTTGTTCCAAAACTCCCTCAGTTTGTGACCTTGGGCATGATATTCAACTTCCTTGAATCTCAGATTCTTCAAATGTAAAACGAGGGTAAAATCTGTCCTGCAGAATTTAGTAAAGATGAAATGAGATAATAAAGCAAAGGAGTTAAGCACAGTCCCGGGCACACAGAAGGAATTCAGCAAAATTCCCTTCCCTTTCCACTTCTCTATTTGTAAAATCCTCCAGGAAAGCTTCCTAAAACTTTCCAAACTTACCCATTAGCTCGTCTCTGTCAAAACAACGCTAATATCACTTAAATCAAAAACTGTACATAAACAATGAAGGTTTGAGTAGTCACAAATAGAAACTCTATCCCATTTATTCAGAAAATAAGAGAACTTATAATTTTCTTTAACTCTACAAAAAAGCAGAGTAGATTATTTTTATGTTAGAGAATGTTGCTCAAGAAAGCTTAGTTAAAAACCCCAGGCCCTTTTCACTGAAACCCACAGGATGGCCATCACAGTGTGTTGTTCATTTCATCACACGGCCAGTTGTTGTTAAAAGTCTGTTTCAATAACTATCTTTTAAAATATTGTCACCCCTCAGGAAGCTGGGTAGGACGTTGGGTACTATTGCACAATGGTTGTCATTACCTTATGTGTCTCCAAATGACTCAATAAGTTCAAACAAAACAGTATTGATCCACGGAGGATAAACACCATTTTATCTTACTCATGGAAACAGTAACTAGGCTCCTCTAAAGTGCAGTTATAACCCCAAACTCCCCCCAGGGAAAGCATCTGGAAATGGAGCAGCACTTCTGCGACGACATTCTGTATCAGCAATCTAAACCCCATCTGCTCCTCGGCCTGGTAATGTAAGATCCAGGCGGTAAGTGACAAATATTTACTGCCGATTGGCTCAGAAAAGCTAGTTTATCATTTTATTTCATCAAACCTAGTCCAACTAGGTTATCAGCTTTAAAAACTATTCAGAATTTTTAATTTAATAAGTAAAAAGTTTATGATGGATATTTTTGATTAAGCCAAACCAAAAATTAAAAGATTTCCCTTTGTAAAATTGGGTGTCTTAACTAAAATGTAGTGGTATCTTTAGCTCTCTAATTGGATTTTCTTGTAAAGATACATAAACTAAGTTTATACTTTCCTTATTCAGATATGTATGTGGAATTTTATATAAATAGTTATTAATGATCACATGGAAAACATTTTGCAGATTTGCTTATTCCAACAGGGCTCAGTCCCTGCTAATATTAAAAGCAAAGTAATTAATAATAATAATAATAATAATAATAATAATAATAATAATAATAATAATAATAATAATAATTAAGGTAACTCCCTCTAGTTTGCAAGGTTATGTTATGTACCATTCTTCCCCAGTCAATAATATGACTAAAAAGAATTAGCACATGACAGTTTGGCCAGAGAGAATGAGTAAGTGAGCAAACTGGTTTGCAATTCTGTAAAATGACCTAATTTGGAGCTTTAAATTGAGACCCAGATGCACCCAAACAGCAGCTCCATCAGCCTCCATAGAGTTATTCATTTTGGATCAAAAAGAGTATGTTTCCGGAAGTTCCTTTTTAAAATACAAATTAGTTGGGATACAACGAGGTTGGAATGTTCAGGAACACAAGGGAGCCTAAAATCCCCTCGCATATTAACTAACTTCAGTGACATAGTGATGTCTTCTCTTCCCCTAGTAGTTAAAAAATGACCACTGTTTTGGGATGCCCAATTGACTTAAGACCACTAGATTTACACAGCAGAATTAACTACGATGATACTTTGTCTATAGAATATTCTCGTTTACCAAGCATTTTACACAGAAGAATTTAGATTTTTTTTTAAAGTTAAATTTCTTCTTAGTCAATTGAGTATGCCAGGGTAATACTTCAGGTATTCTTCAAGGTAACTGTCATTATTTATCATTCCAATTGTTCAAAGCTAGTTAATTGAAAAATGCTCCCACCTAGAGTTTATAAGCCTAGCTCTGTTTGTGTAGCAATACTGCAGACTACAGAGGGAGCCTTCAAAGGCTGTGCGGGACATTACCTGATCTGTTGATGAATTAATTAAGAGGTTTGATGAAAGTGTTAAGAGAGGACCTAAGGATCCACACAGAAAGTGAGAGGAAAACTAGCCCCATGCAGGTCCCAGAGGAAAACAACCCTAAAAAGATTTAAACCAGTGCAGATGCTATAACTAACACAGTGAAAGAAGAGGAGATACAGCGTGTCCTAAAGGACTGGCAGCACACGGGCAGGGTATGATGTGTAAGTGCTACTGATTTTCATTTCTATCAGTTCATCTTTAGTATCCTTCCATCCAGTTCTTCTGTTAGGTTTGTAAACACAACCAGTGCTCAGCTGGGGCCTTCTGCTTGAAGTAAATTGGCTTATTACCCTAAAACCTCTGATAACTTGCAGTGAAAGTCAGAAATAAAAACATCTGATACTATGGAGGGGAAAACTGTGTTGGCACGTACGAATGCCTGCCTCAGGAACCCTCTCTTTCCAATCCTCTTTCCTGAAGACCCCTAACAGTGCCTCATAGTTCAGGCATTCACTGGCAACTGACGGACACTGTATGCTGACGATAACAATGAAATGAACAATAGCTCTTACAGCCTTATATAGCTCCTGCCATATGCCAGGCACATAGATTAACTCATTTAATCCTATGGAACAGGCACTAGTGCAGTATCAGTTTTCCAGTAAAGAGCTGACGTCTCAG